CTACACTCACCTTTACTGGCTGCATCCCCGCCTCTTTGACCTGTCTGTCTCCTCTCCACCTATCTTCTCCTCTATCCATCTTCTATCCGCCTCCCCCTCTCTCCCTATTTATTTCAGAACCCCCCTCCCCTCCCCCATTTCTGAAGAAGGGTCCAGACCCGAAACGTCAGCTTTCCTGCTCCTCTGATGCTGCTTGGCCTGCTGTGTTCATCCAGCTCTACACCTTGGTATCTCACCACTTCACTGTTTCTTGCCATTCAGCCAACTGAGTGTCCATGCTGCCACCATCCTTTTTATCCCCTGGAGCTTCATCTTTACCACCAAGTCTGTTATTTGGCAATCAATCAAATGGCCTTCAAAGGTCGATGTATAACACATCAATCACATTGCTTCATCGACACTCTGTTATCTCATCAAAACACTCAATCGAGTTAGTTTACCTCATTAGCTCACTTGCCTTTAACAAATCCACGCTGGCTTTTCTTAATCATTCTGTACTTGTCCAAGTCACCATTAATTGTGCAGTGAATTAGCATTCCTAAAAGCGTTTCCACCGCTAATATTATAAACAGCTGCAGAGTTCATCTTTACATAAGTCAGGAGTGTGATAGAATACTATCCACCTCCCTGCATGGTTGTACCTCCAACAATACTCGAAAAGCTCAACACCATCCAGGACAAAGTAGCCCAGTTCATTGGCCCCACATCCACCATTTCAAATATTCGCAGCTTCCCCAACCACCGGAGCAGACTTATGAAATACAGTACTGAAACTTGCCATATCTCCTTTAACTGCACCTTCAAAACCCACAACCTCCTCCATCTAGATGGACAGGGGCAGCAGATCCACAGGAGTGTACCACCTGCTAGATCCCCTTTCAAGCCAAACTGCTTTCTGACTTGGAAATATATTGCTTTTCCTCCACAGCCTCTGGGTCAAAATTCTGGAGCTGTCACTGATGGTACCACCCACAGACCCACACTTCACTCCATGCATGCTCATAATGACTTATTCCTCCTCCTCCTCCTCTCTCAATCTCAATTTCACTTCACAGCTACTGGCATTGCTCCCCTGACATTAGGTCATGATGAATGAGTCAGGACCCACTTCAACACAACATCAGGAAGACAGAAGTCCTGTTCCTTTGACATGAATCAAACACTGCTTGCGAGACAATCTTGGCTTTAATTTAATCTTCCCTGCCTGGTTCTCTCTCTCGGGCTGACCCAGGTCACCTGAATTTTTGCTGCACCAAACAATACTCTGTCGTCCTGAACAGCACATCCTCTTTAATCACAAAGTCACTGCTTTCTGTTTTGCAACACTATCCGCCCTGCCCTCCATTGTTAACATTAATGACATAGCTACTATTTATATCTCCAAATATCCTTGTCGCTGCTCATCTTTCCAAAATGTATTTGCTGTTATCTGCCCATCTTCATGAAGTTTGATGAAATTTACTTTGATGAAGTCTACTAGTTTCTCTCTACCTTTCTATTTCAAATTTAAATTCCCGCTTTCTCATTTGCCCTCTGCAATCTCCTTTTGGTCTTCGTACCCAGGTTGTCTGTCCATTTGTTCTCAGGTGCCTCACGAGTTAAATTTCTGCTCCAAAACGTCCATGTTATTGATTTTTTTTTCCCCCCAATCCCCACTGTGTGGAAACAGGCCCTTCAGTCCAACAAGTCCACACCAACACTCACAGCATCCCACCCAGACCCACTCCCCCTATAACCTAACGTAATCTACACATCCCTGGACACTACGGTGTAATTTAGCATGGCCAATCCACCTACCCTGCACATCTTTGGATTGTGGGAGGAAACCGGAGCACCCGGAGGAAACCCACGCAGACACGGGAGAATGTGAAGAAGGTCTAGGCCCGAAATGTCAGCCTTCCTGCTCCTCTGATGCTGCTTGGCCTGCTGTGTTCATCCAGCTCTACAACAGTGAAAGTGGTACAGCTTGAGTCTTGGGGGAGTTGGCTGCAGTAACAGAGTTATATCTGGGACATAGCTGGTTAGCTCTGGACTGACAGTGGCACTTACACACCTGGGATGCTAGTCAATCCAGTGGGGAGCTCTTCTGGTGTTGATGAATGGTAGACTGGAGCTGGCAGTCCAGGCAGGCAGGTAGTTAATGAGTAACGAGTTTAATAATGAGTTAATGAGTAATACGTTTGGTAAGATACAAGGAGGTCTCGCTGAAAGCCGCAGAGAAACTCTCCATGCAACTTGATGAAACTGGCAGTTGGCGAACAAAAAATGTAAGATCCAGCTGAGCTACCCTCCAAATCAATTGAAAAATGTGTTCTGTTATCACAAAAGAAATTTAACGTTCCACAAATGTGAAATTAAGTTTTTCAGGGACAGCAAAGCCAATCAGCAGTGATTACTAACTTAGCACATTGTTAAAAATCCCAGTTACACCATTCAACAAAGTTTTCATTCAAAAGTTTTGCAAGGGCTTTCACAGCAGGACGTATAATATAGAACAGCCAAGTTCACCTTCTATCCGAGAGCTTTTTGTTTTCAAGTCAGATGGTGCGCCCAATGAGGAAGTGTAAAACTGCTGACAAATCTTCCAATTTCCTGCGTAATGTGCTATTGCCAGAAATTGCTGACAGTTTGCCATCACTACTAGCATGAAATCTGGATCAATCCTCTTCCTCAGAGCTTTATAAACAAAACCCCGAGGTCGTAAAACACAGGAGCAGAAGTTGCCATTCAGTCTATCAGCCATTCAATGAAAGCATGGCTGACCAGACAATCCTCAACGCCAATTTCCTGCTTTCTCCCCGTAACCTTTGACTCCCTTACTGATTAAAAATAAAATCAGTCTTTTTCAGCCTTGAATATACTTAAAGACCCAACTTCAACAGCCCTTTGTGGTAAGGGATTACACAAATTCCCTCAGAGAAGAAATTCATTATCTCCAGTCTTAAATCTATAGAACCATTGAACCCTACAGTGTGGAAGGAGGCCATTCAGTCCATGGAGTCCACATCAACCCTCAGAAGACCATCCCACCCAAATACACCCCCCTACCCTATCCCTGTAGTCCCGCATTTCCGATGGCTAACCCACCTAACCGAACATCCCTGGACACTATGGGCAATTTAGCATGGCCAATCCACCTAACCTTCACATCTTTGGACTGTAGAAGGAAACCGGAGCACCTGGAGGAAACCCACGCAGACACGGGGAGAATGTGCAAACGCCACACAGACAGTTGCCCGAGGGTGGAATTGAACCCGGGTCCCTAGTGCTGTGAGGCAGCAGTGCTAACCACTGAGTCATTTGCCCTTTGGTCCTAGGCTTACCCACAAGGGGAAACAACCTCTCCATATCTACTCTATCAAGCCCCCCAAATAATGTTGTATATTTCAATAAGGTCATCTCTCATGCTTCTACATTCCAATAAGTACAAACCCGACCTACTCAACCTCCCTCATAAGACAGCACCTCCGTATCTCATGTATTAGCAAACCCTCTCTGGACTCTCTCCAATGTCAGTATATCTTTCCCTACTTAAAGGGATCAAAGCTGCTAAAAGCATTCCAGCTGTGATTTGCCTAGTGCCTTTAATCTCATTTTCACAAGACCTCTCTGTTTTTATACACCATTTCCTTTGAAATCAAGGTGAACATCCCATTTGCCTTACCTATGCAGAGCATCGATACTAGTTTTTTGTGATTCATGCACCAGGATTCCCACATCCCTTTGTGCTGCAGTTTTCTGCAGTCTTTCACCATGTAAATAATATTCACCTCCCATTTTCCCACATTAAATTTCATGTGCCAAGCCTTTGCCCATTTGTCTCAACCTGTCTATATCCCACTGTAGACGCTGTGTCATCCTCACCACTTGCCTTCCAACCGATCTTTGGGTCATTGGCAAACTTGTCTTCAGTAAATTCACTCTGCTCATCCAAGTCGTCAACATATTTCTAAATACTAGTGGCTCCAGCACTGGTCACTATGGCACTCCACTTGTTACAGATTACATCTGATTGTTACCTGGTAACGTCCCTTTTCTCCCAACTACCTCTTCCATAAGTCAGCCAATTCTCTTCCCCCTCTAATATACTACCCTTAACACTATGGGCTCTTAACTTATCAAGCACTCTACTGTGTGTAACTTTATCATAAATCCTGCATAAACATTATGTCTTTCCCTCACAGAGTCTGCAACATAATGCCCCAAATCAAGCACTGTTAATAACTGGGAATAAATACTTCTTAACACTCCTCATCTCGTGGCTACGTGTGAGACCTCATTTTTTGGCATCCCTAAGGCCCAGAATAAGTGCAGCAAAAAATTCCTCTTTTGTCAAATGCTTTGAGAGATCTGAATAAGTACTGCACCAGATGCAGTTTCAACTGTTCTGTGAGTGATAACAAAGGAATACTCCCACACATCCTCATTGCTTCATACAGCCTCAAATCAGAATAAATTCTACATTTTGTTCTTGAAGGTGTGTTCTGCACAGAAGCCCTATTAATGTAACAACTTTGAGCATTTTCCTGCCAGTCATTTGTTTCTGAGATGCAGGCTATCAATTGGATCAAGAAACAAATGCTGGATGGCAAGTTGCTCTGCAATTCAGGTTTATATTTAGTAGTAGCTGCCACATTACTTAGCCAGTTTTATTTCCAGATCACTAACACCAATTGTACAACCCCAGACTCACTTGGCAAATAGCACAGCTTTGAAAATTGTCTGCTCTCTGTCGCAGTGATCCCAGCATTCAACAGGTTATTCTGGCGAAATTCTCCTTTAAAGAACCTGCATGCTTAATTTTTTTAATTCCATGGTCTAACAGTTTATTCCCTCAGAACTGTCCTGTAAAAGACTCATGCACTAGAACAGTGATCCCATTGTCAGAAATAGCACAAAACATGAATCTTTAAAGGCCGAACAAATGGGACAATGATTAAAGTATTTGGGTGATACAATTATACTTTAATATTGATCATCAATTTCAAATGGATACTTACAGTCCAAAAAACACCATTTTGGTGATAACTTCTGTGAAGACAAGGTTCTCGACTTAGTGCCATCGTCCTCCTGTTAACAGAGGGGAAAGGAACCCATTAAGATTTGCAGGAATTTTATTTGCCAAGACACTGCGTACTGGAGAGTACTATGAAGCAAGCCTTTACTTCAGTGGTACTGTTTCCAGCTCTGAGTAAGAGAGGGTGCAGACTTTGAGCCCGAGCTCAGGCAGCCCAGTAAATGGAACATCATTTCTGAGATAAACATCAAGGGCAAGAGAACAAGACCAACATCACCAAAACAAAAAAGAGGCCATGCTCAGACAGAGTGCGACATGGAAAAAGGCAAGGCCAAGAATTTTCACTAAAATTAAACAGGTATGCCTGGTATCAGGAACTGTGCATTTCAAGAAAACAGCTGATGGATCCATGAACCTGGAAAAGCAAATCCTGATTTTGCCGTCAGATACCCATGATTCAAAGCGAGCGAGCGTCTGGCGCTAGCACTCATCTTTTCCTGTCAGTCCGGGTGAGACTGAAGCCTTATTAAATAAGCAGTTCCATTGATGAATTATATCGCCAGGTCAGCCGCTAACACTGTGACATTGCGGTGAAAAGAGATTTGCAGAGAGGATCGACAATTAACTCCTATTCGTTTGTGATCTTAACTTTTATTTTTAACATCAACATGCTTTATTCTACTATGGAGAGCATTTGTTTAAAAAGACCTAAAGGGTTATCATGCAATGTTGGTGCTGGTTTTACACCGCAGAGCTGATGGCTACCAAGCCCCTCACAGACAGACTACATGTTCACATTCTTTACATGCAAACACTGTGCGTAAATCAGAAGAGCAGTCACAGCATGCCTGCAGGTGTGCTGTACAGGAGTAGCATTAGAAAACAGTGTACAAGATTCAGCAACATGTTTTTAAACTGCATCCCTGGATCACAAACCTGCAGCACCAAACGCTGGAGGGAGGGATGAGCCAGGGGTAAATCCTGTGGAAGAGCAGAACAGTTTGCATTGCATCAGTTATTAGGGGATGACAGCTACCCCAGTCACAATAGGATTTTACTTTGAAAGGGATACCACACAATTATCAGTTCTAAATAACACGGCAGAAATTTCCTGTCGGCACCATGTAAGGGTCGACAGACGGAGGTATTTTCAGGAATCAGGCTGTGAATCTCAGCTGTGCAGCAGCATTAACTCCTGGGCAGTAGACAGTTTGCGGCGCCTGACAGGAGATAGGGAATAGGAAGGGTAGTCATTGAGAACCCAAGGCAGTTTTGGCAGGATAGGGACTGCATGTTGCTGGCATCAGTCTGCAAGTGCGGCTCTTGGCAACCAGGAGATGTCAGCTGGAGCCGCAGCTGGCCCAGGACCATTTGCGTATCTGCCTTGGCACTCTTGGCCACATCCCACCTAGACTGCACACATCACATGATCAACGATTAACCGCAACAGATGCAATGCAGGAAAAAGATGCGACAATTTCAGTGAGGTGGTCACCAACCCACACAATTCCAGCTGAGCACAAGGAAAGGGGAGGAGAAGTCTGCCGCAGCCTGCCTACTGAATGCAGAGTTACCCAAGGTCAACAGCAAACCTGACGACCTGGGAATTATCGACAAAACTGCAGCCCTCTCCTCACCAAATGAGCAATTCCACACGATCCAGTATGTGAAATGAAGCATCTGGCTAATTCTACAACTGCGCTCTTTCCCTATCAACACCAGGTAGTTAGCCACGCTGCTAATCCTTTTCAGTGCAAAATGAACACCACTTTTAATTCTCCCCTCAACCTCCTCTACTCTAAAGGAGAACAATGACAGCGTGCTCTGTCAATCCTCAGACCAGGGAAGACTGACTTCTGGAAAATCAAATATCTACTCCCTCCCAAAGTGTGGTGCCTGCAAGTGGATTTAACATGTTTGATGAGGTCAAACCAGATATTTATAAACCTTTACAATAACCTCCTCGCTTGTGTGCACTATTTTCTAACTATAAATTTAAGGATGTCACGTTACTACAGCAATTTCACATTCAAAGATTTATGCATGAGAATTGGTCTCTATCTGCCTTTATTCCCTTTAAAATTCCACCATTTTGCTTTTATTCCCTATTCTTCCTTCAAAATCAATTGGTCACATTTCTCCACCACATGTCTGAGCATTTTATCAACATGTCTATATTCCCCAGGCATCTGCATTGCCCTCTTCATTGGATTTATATCTCTCCAAGCTTTGGAGCATCTGCAAATATGAAATGCCACCATCCCCAAGTCCACAACCTGAGATATCAGAAAAAAAGCACTGAACCTATTGCCAACCCTTGGGGAATGCTACAATATACTTCTCTCCAGCCTGCCAAACATTCTACACTTCTCCCTGCTCTCTATCTCTTGTCCAGCCATTTCTTAGCGGTGAAAATAAAAATAAAAGCACACACAGACATAAAAATAATGCATTTTCAAAGATCTAAAGATCAGTCAAAACTCTGGGGTTGCCAAAACTGTGTCACACCAAAATCATTTTAATAAATGTGATGGAACTATATTATTCAGTTTGAATCAACCCTCAAGTAGAGTCAACGAGATATACAGCATGAAAACAGACCCTTCGGTCCAACTCGTCAATGCCGACCAGGTATCCTAAATAAATCGAGTCCCATTTGCCAGCATTTGGCCCATAGCCCTCTAAACTGTTCCTATTCATGTACCAACCCAGATGGCTTTTAAATGTTGTAGTTGTACCAGCCTCCACCACTTCCTCTGGCAGCTCATTCCATACACGGTCAAAAATCACACGACACAAGGTTACCGTTCAACAGGTTTATTTGAAAACACAAGCTTTCAGAGTCTCCGAAAGCTTGTGTTTTCAAATAAAACTGTTTGGCTATAACCTGGTGTCATGTGATTCTTCACTTTGTCCACCCTAGTCCAACACTGACATCTCCACTTCATTCCATACATGCACCACCCTCTGCATGAAAAAGTTGCCTGTTAGGTCCCCTTCAAATCTTTCTCCTCTCACTTTAAACTTATGCCCTCTAGTTTTGGACTCCCACACCCTGGGGAAAAGACCGTGGCTATTTAACCTATCCATGCCCCTCATGATTTTATAAACCTCTATAAGGTAAACCCTCAGCCATCGATGCTCCAGGGAAAATAACGTCACTCTATTCAGCCTCTCCCCATTGCTCAAATCCTCCAACCCTGGCAACATCCTTTGTAAATCTTTTCTGAACCTTTTCAAGCTTCACAACATCCTTCCTATAGCAGGGAGACCAGAATTGAACTCAATATTCCAAAAGTGGCCTAACCAATGTCTTGTAGAGCCACCACAGGACCTCCCAATTCTATACTCAATGCACTGACCAATAAAGGAAAGCATACCAAACACCTTCTTCACAATCCTGTCTACTGTGACACCACTTTCAAGGAACTGTGAACCTGTACTCCAAGGTCTCTCTGTTTGGCAAAACTCCCCAGGACCTTACCATAAGTGTATAAGTCCTGCCCTGATTGGACTTTCCAAAGTGCAACACCTCACATTTATCTAAATTAAACTCCATCTGCCCCTCCTTGGTCCATTGGCCCATCTGATCAAGGTCCCGTTATACTCTGAGGTAACTTCCTTCACTGTCCACTACACCTCCAATTTTGGTGTCATCTGCAAACTTACTAACCATACCTCCTATGTTCAGATCCAAATCATTTATATAAATGACAAAAAGCAGTGGACCCAGTACCGATCCTTGTGGCATACCGCTGGTCACAGGCCTCCAGTCTGAAAAGCAAGCGTCCAACACCACCCTCTGTTTTCTACCTTCAAACCAGTGCTGTATCCAAATGGCTAGCTCTCCCTGTCTTTCATGTGATCTAACCTTGTTAACCGGTCTACCATGCGGAACCTTGTCAAACTCCTTACCGAAGTCCATACAGATCACATCCACCATTCTGCCCTCATCAATCCTCTTCATTACTTCTACAGAGAAGCAACTGGCCTTTGGCCAAGACCATAAAAGACAAACTGGCATTGCGAGCAGGCATGAGGAGCTGAGTGACTGCAGATGCTGGAGTCAGACAAGACAGTGTGGAGCTGGAGGAACACTGCAGGCCAGGAAGCATCAGAGGAGCAGGAAAGGAGGGTCCCGACCCGAAACATCACCTTTCCTGCTCTTCTAATGCTGCCTGGCCCGCTGTGTTCCTCCAGCATCTGCAGTTCTTGCTATCTCCGAGGGGCTGAGTGGTCTCTTTTGATTCCTACCTTCCAATGTAACTGCAGTGCAGGGTTGGGAATTGTCAGCAGGAATCCACAACTGAGCCAAGATGTTCCCTACCTCTAATAGGTGGTGACAATCTTCTCATCTCTAATTTTCCTGAATCATTCAGAGATATTCAAATTTCAAACAGTACTGATTGCTCTGAGCTCAATAGAATCATAGAATCCCTACAGTGTGGAAGCAGACCTTTCGGCCCATTGAGTCTATGCTGGACACCAAAGAACATCCCACCTACACGCACTCCCCTACCCCATCCCTGTAACCTTGCATTTCGCATAGCTAATCCACCTAACCTGCACATCTTTGGACTGTGGGAGGAAACCGGAGCCCCCGGAGGAAACCCACGCAGACACGGGGAGAATGTGAAAACGCCACACAGAGACAGTCGCCTGATGGTGCCCGGGCCCCTGGTGCTGTGAGGCAGTGGTGCTCACCATTGTGCTGCCCTCAGTAGCATTGATAATCACTTCAAAGTGTAATTTAGAGCTGAAGCTTCCCGCTTCTCCAGAAACTTCTCTCTGCATTCCAATTGAAAATGACTTGCACCATCAGCATATCTCACTGCAACGATACGTCATTCCTTCCCAAGCGATAAGCAAATGCATTAAAACGTACCTCCTGAAGCCTCTCAATATGGGTGCGGCAGATCTCCAGGTCACTGTCGCCAGGGATAATGATGATACCAAGGGGCACCGCTGTGAGACAGAACAGAAAAGACACGGATATAACATTAGTAACAGCAAAAGCAAGCAAATGACTTGCAATTTTTACAGGGACGCTCACAACTTCAGGATGTCTCGAACGGGTTTGTGTCAATATGTGCAGTCGCTGTCGTTATGCAGGAAATGTAACAACCAATTTCTACACAGAAAGCTCCCACCCACAGCAATGTGGTAACAACCAGTTCACCTTTCACATACATTTGAAAGCGCAGACCAGGCCCTGGTTTAAGGGCTTGTCTGAAAGATCTCCAGGAGTGTGGCATTCCCTCAGTAATGCCCCAGTGACAGCTTAGATCAGGGCTTCATCTGTCGGGTGACAGACTTAAAGTTATAACCCATGAATTCAGAGGCGAGAAATGCTACCAACAGGCTAACGCGCCAGATGGCTAGAACAAGCTGACCCTGCTGGTTTTTTTGACGCTTGTAGAAGCTACATCATTACAACTTAAAACCTACCGCAAATACCGACAATCTAATTTCAGGAGACCTATGGAAAAATGTTGGGCAATTAGGATGTCAGCTTGGAGTTGCTAAAGGAAAATCGTATCAAAGCCCTTTACTTTCCGTCAGGCATCTATTTTAGTCGGCATTGCGGGGAGATGTGGGGACAGTGGTGTTCACACGGCTGCGCTAACACGGCCAAAAGGACCCCTTGATTTTATCGTCCATTTTGTGACATCAGTCTTTGCGTCAATATCAACATCCACAGCGAAATGTGACAACTGGTGGACCTGGATTCTCGGGTGTTTATGTGACGCATCTGATGGAAAGGATGACAACTGAAACTTGGGTGCGATGTGCGCCCCATGTGACAAAACACTCAAGTCCAAGCTACTTTTAACATTTGCTTGCAATTGTGTCCATGCTTTCGCCCCTTCCCCACCCCATCACTGTAGGCAAGTAGTCTGCTCTCAAGGGACCCGGCAATGCGGCTTAAAGGAGAGTAAATTACCCCGCAGCCACAACATAAACATGAAGTTCCTGCTCCACTGACTCCTGAAGCTGAAATCTGTTAAAAGGCACATTTCTCAACACAAGCACTTTCTCCTCTTAAACAAACAGTTCCTGACTATGTTCAGACAGATCGGCTGCAATGTTATTTTTAATTACTGACCCATCAGTAGGTGACCAGGTCTATTTTGAAGCCATCAGTTCAAAGCAGCTAACCGCAGTAGTCTCCGGCTTATTAACCCCTCAGGTCTCACAATAAGACACGTTGCAGACATGATGTAGATTGAACCGAATTGAAGTGAATTAGCTTTATTGTCACATGTACTCATGAGTACAGTGAAAAGTTTACAAGTCCCCACTTATGGCACCATCTGAGGTACATAGGTGCAGATTTCGGAGTACAAATTCTTAGGAAAAAGAAGTCCAGCATTGCAGAAATTCAAAAGTACACAATCGTAGAAATAAACTAGAAAAATAAATTAATAAAATGCTTAGAACAACAGAGGTGCTTCCACCATAATTTAAGAAAAGAGAATTTAAGGCAATGCCAACTTAGTCAATTTTGTGGCTCTGGGCTCAAAGACCCGACCCCCTCCCCCACATTGGAATCCTGGTGTGGACTGTGCACGATGCCAAAGAAAACACTGCATGGAGATTGGACGGGCTTTCCTTCTCCTTAAGGGCACCATCTCTACCAGGCTTATAGTCTGACAGGCATTTCAAATCATCGATCAAACATGCCAGCCCTCATGTGAAACTGATGCTACTGTCAGCAATGGGAGATCTTACAGCCGAGCCCTCAATCTAGCCAGAGCCAACTTTTCAGGAGTGGAAACACTGGCTCAGGTTGCCCTGGTTTTATTTTAGAACATTGAGGCTAATTCTATTGCCTCTACCCTGAGCAATTAATCCTAAATTCTGTCTGGGGCCAAGGGCAACTGTTAACTTCTTCGGGAAAAAAAATGGTTTGAACCAAAACTAACAAATCATTCTGGAATCTGCACTGTGAGCATTCACAATGGAAGGGAAAAGGGATTTTTACAGTGTAAATATTCCCCACATTACGTAATGGAATTGCAAATTAGGCCATTCTACGACATTTAAACAGCACCTTTAACGTGTTAAAACATCCTTAAACATTTCACAGGATTGTAATCAGGCAATCAGACATGTAAGGAGAGTTGACTAAAAGGTCAAAGAAAGAAGTGAATTTCAAACTGTGTCAATAAAGGAGCAAAGAACGAGACAGAAAAGTGAAGAGATTTGAGAAAGGAGTGCCAGAAACCAAGGTCAATTGGCTCAAGACACAAGAGCTAATTGTTCGGGGAGCCGAAGGAAACTGTAGTGCAAAACAAACCAGAGTTGGGGGAATGCAGAGTTCTCTGAGTTTTAGGGGTTGGAAAAGATTACAGAATTAGTGAGGACTGAATGGGTCAGTTGGTGCATTGGATAACATGCCTGACGATGGATCAGAAGACTGTAGGTTTGACTCCTACCTGCATCAGATTGAGTTTTATTTGTTAGTTTAGTGGTTAATATCTCTGCCTGGCACATGGGAGACCAGGGTTCAATTCCTTGACGGGGAGGACAATTTACTGCTTATGTTAACCATTTGATTGTGTTTTTATTCCAGTACTCCATCAGGGCAGTCTAACAATTTGTTGTTTTAACAGAGTAGAGAATTTCGCAATGAATCCACTGGTGGAATGACAGCATCCCAGTACCAGCGGTAGCTCAGAAATCCACTTTATTTGTGACTATATCTTCAACTTTGTAATAACTGTTCCTTGGCTAAGCAGTAGGGGTGGAAAATTAGAGTCAATATATGGAAGATAATAATGTTCTGTGCATTTTATGAAATAATAAAAGTCCGCGGTGTTGAAATAAATGCTTCTCCTTATAGTTATTAGATCTCTATGATGCTGTAAACCAGACACTGAACAAGTCGCTGCTGGAAGATTTATAACCATGGGATGAATAATCATAGAATCCCTACGGTGTGGAAGCAGGTCATTCGGCCCATTGAGTCCACACAGACCGTCTGAAGAGCATCCCTCTTAGACCCACCCCCTACCTTATCACTGCATTTCCCACCCAAGACACTATGGGCAATTTAGCATGGCCAATCCACCTAACCTGCACATCTTTGGACTGTGGGAGGAAACCAGAGCACCTGGAGGAAACCCACGCAGACACGGGAAGAATGTGTAAACTCCACACAGACAGTCATCCGAGGCTGGAACCGAACCTGGGTCCCTGGTGCTGTGAGGCAGCAGCGCTAACCACTGGGCCACCGTGCTGCCCTCTTGCTTCTTGAAATCTACAACTATGTCGACACTGGCCAAGCATCCATACAAGAGGAGAATGGGGTCTACACCAGTCTGTTCTTAGCTACAGACACTGCTTAGTGACTACAAGACGCAGGCCTGTGACTGCAATATACTAATGTTTTTTCCTATTCGTTCATGGGATGAGACTAGGGTTCAGGCACAGTAAGTTCAACATTTATCACCCATCTATCACTGCCTTTGACAAGATGGTGATGAGCCAATTTCTTGAACAGTTCTGCAAGTCCGTGCGCTACAGGCAGACCCACAGGTCTGCTTTAGGTTCCTCTCTCAAAAGATCAGAAACCTCCCTCCTGAAAATGTCACAGAAGCAGAATACTTGGATATTTTTTAAGGCAGAGGCAGATAGATTCTTGGTAAGCAAAAGGACGAAAGGTTATCAGAGGTAGGCAGGAACATGGATCTGAGATTACAGGCAGATCAGCCACAATCTTACTGAATGGTGAAGCACACTCATTGGGCTGAATGGCATATTCTGGCACCTAATTCATATGTGTGCGTGTGTATGTATGTTTGTTTATTAGGAAGAGAGTTCCAGAAGTAGGACTCAGTGGCAGTGAAGGAACACCCATATAGTTCCATGTCAGGATGGTGTGTGTGAAGGGACCAGTACATGCTGGTGTCCCCATGCATCTGCCAACTTTTAGGTGGTCGATGTCACAGGCTTGGAAGGTGCTGACTAAGGAGTTTTGCCAAGTTGCCGCAATGTATTCTCGTGGATAAGAAAAACCGCTTCCACTGTACGTCAGTGGCAGAGGGAACGAATGTTTAAGATGAGATGCCAATGAAGTCAGCTGCTTTGTCCTGGATTGTGTTGAGTGTTGCTGGAGCAACATTCTTTCAGGAAATTGGAGAATATTCCATCACACTTCTGGCTTGTGCCTTACAGACAGTGGGCTAACTTTGGCAAGTTGGGAGGTGAGTTACTCACAGAAGAAGTTTAACTTGCTCTTGCAGCCACAGTATTTATATGGCTAGTCCAAATCAGTGGTAACTTAGCGATAGTGCCATTTAACAACAAAAGATGATGATAAATGCCTGGCAGTTGTCTGGCACAAATGTTATTTGCCTGTTATTAGTCCAGGCCTGAAGGTCATCCAGATCTTGCTGCTAATGGACACAGGCTGCTTCAGTATCTGAGGAGTTGCGAATGATGCTGCACATTGTGCAATCATCAGCGAACATCCCCACTTTTGACCATTTGATGGAAGAAGGTTATAGATAAAGCAGCTGGAAATGACTGGGCTTATCCAGAGGACCTCCTGCAGAGATGTCCTGAAGCCGAGATGACTGATCTCCAATACCCACAGCCATCTTCCTCTGTCAGGTAGATTCTAATCAGCAGACAGATTTCTTCTGATTCCCAGTGACTCCAGTTATGTTCGAGTAATGCCACACTCAGTCAAATGATGCTTTGACATTAAAACCAGTCACATTCACTTCGCTCTCTGGGGTTCAGCTTTATATCAATGTTTGAATGATGCTGTCATGAATGAGATCAAGAGCCTAGTGCCCCTGACAGAGTAATCTGAAATTATAAATACAGGACATTGCCTATATTATACGCTGGGCGCGGTTACAAACAAAAGCAGTAACAGTGGGGGGAGAGCAGGAGACAGAAGTCTAATTCGTGCCATTAAGTGTGATGGCACTTAGTATCTGAACTGGAAGCAGCAAAACTTGAGGCTCATTTCCTAAGTTATATAGTGAAAGGTGAGAAATATTTTATTCAAAGCTAGTTCCAGTCGACAATTCAGATTTTGTTGGCCAGCATTAAGCACAAGCCAGGCTGGAATTATGAGAATTTCTGTATCTATGTAGTTTTTGCAGGCAGGCATTCAGAATTGGCTAACACTGCCATCTAATGTCCACAAGGCAAAATGTGTTTCAAAATTACATTTTTTATTCTGTACCTTGCAAACTGTTGTCCCTACTGTGGTGTTCTCTGCAGTCCACTCTGACACATGCCCAAAGAACTGACGAGAAGACTATCTAAGGTTGAGGGAGCTGAACCGACGTAAAAAAGTTCTTTACGATCAAAATGTGGAAAGACTTTGATAAGAGGGCCTCAGATCTGGCAGCAAATAAAAAATGCACAGCTACATGCTTGATTGATAAAGCGTGCCCATAAAACTGCTCTGGTTTTCTGATTGAACCTTTGAGATACAATTTATATAGGATGAATTTGCAGATGACCCTCTGAGGTATGCTGGGATTGAATGGTGACTCTCAGTAGTTGTGTTAGAGGCTCTGCTAGAAGGCTGGAAATAAAGCAGCTTCAGAATAGCAAGGCCTGCTCCCATAATATCATGTACGTATCGTCAACAAACATGTTATAAAAGAAATCCTCTAGTTTGGCCTGAGCTTGTATAAAGAAGAAAACAACCCATTGGGAAATATGGTGGTATTAGTGGAAGGAGTAATCTAAGGGGGTGGAGCTTCTCTCAAGAGAATGTGAGCAACCATAAGGCAAAAATTCTGAGATTTCCTGAATACAGTGAGTCAAAGACTTAACCAAAACAAGGTATAGTCTGTAGTGGCATGTGAACCAGGCAGTCCCAACCTTTTGCACTGTCCTTCGATGTTGTTGAAGATATACAGTTACAGAGGGTGTACTTCCACTGGCACAAAACAGCCTCAGCTCTCCATTTGAAACAGCAACAGCTTCAGGTCAGTATTCTCTCATGAGCAGTACACCCCATTGCCCATTAGGCAAGATGTTGATAAAACTTCAGCAAATAATCAGTCAGTCTGAGCAGCATCTGGTACCTATTTTGGCCCTAAAAAGAATCTCATCATTGAGCATGACGAGTAGCCAGGGAACTTGGAAAACACCACTGACGATTTTATAGATACATCTATTCATGCAAAGGTGCACCTTTGGAAGATGAGTTTGTTTAGATTCTTGATGCTTCACAATCTCAACATGACCTAACATGAAAACAGATGGTCCAGAGTATTAGGTAGGCCGAGCACAGAGACATAGCTTGAAACAGGGACATGGTACAATACTACTACGAGGCTTAGTTGGAGATGTCTGCACTACTCAACAAACAGCCTATCAAAGTCATGGTAAAAGGTGAGAATTGTCATTTTGAAGCACTAGCATTGTCAGGTCGGGACAGCAAGCAAGTGACAGGGTATTCAATGCCTTCACTATAGCAGATTTAGTCATTTTCACCAATCCTGCAATGCAAAATTATCTCTTCAACCCAACCAAACAAATTCTGAATAAAGGAGAACCCAGAACATTCACGATAGAGAACGATAGCATGGGAGCTATGTACTTTCTCGATCATGCAGATCATGTTGATCCTATGCTGGATGAACAAGATCTGGACCAGGATTATTGGGTCGTAACCTTGGATGTCAATAATTTTGATAGTAAGTATTTTCTTGATCCAGGAGAAACTATTACTGTGATGCCTGCCACTTTACCAGAGCTTGGCAACATTAGCCTCTGACCATCAAACATCAGGATCAAGGGATTTCAGTTAATGGTTGTATTGAAGCAATACTTTGTTACAATGGTAAAGATTTAAAGGTCCTAGTTATGTCTTGAAAAATCAAAACAAATCCTTGTTGAGGTGGTTTGCTGTATCCAATTCAGTTTTTTTGCTGAGACTACCAGACACTCTAGCACAGGGAAGAGACACCTCATGTTGAGAAAATTATTATGTTCCACTTTGTGAGGAATTCCCTTAGCCTCTCCAAGGCTGAGAGCTTTTGTCTAAGGAAGACGAGATGACATTTTGCAAAGGTTTCCTGCAACTTTTCCAGCCCAATGAAGCTGTGTGGCTGCATGCTTTTGTGTTCTTCGTAAGGTACCACCTTTTCTGAGAGTTTGATCAGCTTCAGAGGACTCTGCTTCCAGAAAGAGCTTATGCAAATAACCCACCAGGGAGCACTGTGAGATGGCCAAAGTGAACAGTATATTTTTATGGTGGCCGTATGGTCATGCCCTGAGGTATACTGCAATGTAACTGTGGCCTCAGGGCTCATGTGTAAGAGACTCCGCTAGAAAGTTGGAACTAGTGCAACGCAGAGAAGGGGCCTCCATCGCCTTGCCATCACATAAATCTTATTAATAGATTGTGTTTAAAAAATCCCTGAAGTCTAGTATGTGAAGAATTACGAACCATATTAAAAACAGTGTCTTATCCTTGGGATTGCTGCCAATCTCACAGGGTTGTTTATCATGGCGTTTGTCACCCTTATAGACATTACCCACTACACTGTAGGGCAATGTGCAGCAGAGCTCGTGTCACCTCTTCAGCTTGTCTTCTCTTTCATATGTCTGCATTGTGTTGATGACTAATTTTGGAAAACAACTCCAAAAGGTTGCGCAATCATCAATTGTGACGGAGCAACGATCCCCTTTTGACATTCCGATTAGCAGCAAGACAACGGGGAATGGTGCAAATCCACAATATGCTTCAAAGGTGAACTGGTGATATCTGTATAAATCTGCTCAGTTTGTACAAAGGCAGTGGCATTATCCAGCTGTAAGGGAGTCACATCCTACAGCTGAAGTCTGGGCAACACTGAGGGAATGCTCTATGTTGGATGAACCAGAGCATAGCTGCCCTCTCAGGGAGATGCAAAGCATCCCAAGTACCACTGGAAGAAAGGTAGGAGCATTCCCTTCAGTGACCAGACCAATATTTATCCCTCACCCAATGCCAGGAAGGAAAACAAACTATCTGGTCATTACCTCCTCGCTGTTTGTGGGGGCTTGCTGTTTGAAAATGGGTTGCCCTGTTCCCAGAAATTAGAGCAGAACGTTGTTAGCTGTGAAGCTTTTGGAAAAGTGCTGCATACATTCAAGAATCTTTTCTGATTTTAACAGTAAAGCAGGAGGGCAGGAGTCACTGTTCCCCTGCTTCTGGCTACTTACAGGCTTCTTTTAGTTTCTCCTTGTCGTAGTGCAAGGCTTCGTAGTCATGCATGCTGATCCGATTCACTCGTATCTTCAGACGCTCAGGTACTGTCTGCTGACTGAAGCAGATAATAAATCATTTCAACAGAACAAGCTGAAAGTGTTCATGCTAAAAATCAAATTTTAATTCTAACAGTGACACTGAAAAAAACAAGGGGCCCGTGGCTTCCCCTCCAGTTTGCTGATTAACATTTTTGGTTCAGAAACGTCAGTCGAGAAAGTATTGTGATGAGCCCTCGCTATTTTAATGAGTCTGTCAATCAGACCCAGTCCCATCTTAATCCCATGAAGATTATACAAGGAGCTCCATGGTTACAACCAGGGAAATAGAATGAGATCATTATTTACAGAAACCTGGCAGAATGCTCGAGTTTCTTGCAGCCTCCATCTCACCTCCAGGTCAGATGGTCATGCTGTTCACATCATTCCCTTGATTTAAACAAAAAACAGAAGACGGCTACTTCAGCACAGCACAAGGGGAAGGTAATGGCCATGTGTCAATTTGAGGGGGAGTTCTCCCCACAGACCTAGCTGAGTTTTGGCTTGCAATTAGGTTTTGTACATGTGCAGTTCACAGCGATTGTTGTGAATGTAGGAAACACGGCAGCCTATTCTTTCTTCCTTTTCTCTACATCATGTTCCTGGCATTGGTCTGAAGCCAGGCTTTATCAGTTGTGAATCACCAAGGTTCACAACCATCTCTCACCACAATGGGTTTGCACTACCAGCTGCCTAACGACACTAGACAAGTGATTGCCTCATCTGATAGTGAAGAGGGAAAGCTGGAGGTGCCAAGGTCCACTTTCAGCTCATCATCTAGGTATAAAACTGTCATGGCATGAGTTGTGATGGAAACTGCCCACTTTTCTTTTCCATCAAAAATCAGTAAAATGGAACAGAGGGAGTCACGGTGGCTCAGTGGTTAGCACTGCTGCCTCACAGCACCAGGGGCCCGGGTTCAAATCCACCTTCAGGCGGCTGTCTGTGTGGAGTTTGCACATTCTCCGTGTGTCTGTGTGGGTTTCCTCCCACAGTCCAAAGATGTGCAGTCTAGGTGGATTAACCATGGGAAATGCAGTGTTACAGGGATTGGGTGGGTCTGGATGGGATGCTCTTTGGAGGGTCAGTGTGGGCTCGATGGGCTGAATGGCCTGCTTCCACACTGTAGGGGATCTATTGACAAGAGGAAGGCCATTCAGCACCTTGTACCTACTTGGCTATTAAGTAAAGTAATGGTTGACCTGCACCTTAACACCATTTACTGGCTTTACCCTGAAAGTTTCGACTAAACTTGCCACTGCAGCCTTTTGGAGGCAGAAAACTCCAGCTCCGTTAAATGAGAAGGTGCTGCCTGCTTTCACTCTTTGATGACCGGGCTCTAATTTTGAGACAGTGTTCACATGTTCAGAACCCCCTGAGCAGACGTAGTACCTTCCCTCCATCTTGATCTTTTTAATCTACCTGCGTACATTTAAAGTTTAGGCTAAGATTTGTAGCTCGGGTTGTGGGTGAGGTCGTCGACTTGCTCGCCCTGAGCTGCCTTGTTCTCGTTCGGACGTGTTGTCACCACGTTAGGTGACATCATCAGTGGAGCCTCCGATGAAGTGATGTTGTTCTACTCTACTTGGAATTTCACTGTCTGGTATACAGACAGGAAGGAAACTAGCCATCAGAATACATGAACATCAGCTAGCAGCAAAACGGCACAATGAACTTTCTTTAATATCTGTTCATTCAGACAATGAAGGCCATCAGTTCAACCGGGACAAAATAACCACAGTAGCCCAAGCCAAACATAGACATGCACAGGAATTCCTAGAGTTCTCAACCCGTAATGCAATCAACAAACATATAGAATTGGGCCCCCTATACAAACCCATACATATCCAAACCGGAAATGACAGCACGCACCATAATGGACCAAACAGTATAAATTCCAGGCAGAGTAGAACAACATCGCTTCACCGGAGGCCTCACTGATGATGTCACCTGGCATGAAATGGTCACCAATTGTCACAGAGCTACATCTAATTCATGAACGTCCTTTAGGGAACAAAAATGTGACATCTTCATTTGTGATTGACTCATAGCTGTCTTCCTGAAATGGCTCAGTAAACCACTCAGTTCAATGGCAAGATCTTATGAGGTGCATGCTCAGCGCCGACACATTACTTTTGTGTAAATATTGGCAAACGGATCTTTCTTTGACTGAGATGAGCAGAGATAGCAATGGTCATGTTGTGAGTTTCCAGAGTGTTTGTTGGCCAATTCCTGGGATTCCACTGTAAACTGCAGTCAAGTAATACTGTTGATTCTTTCCTGGTGGGATATATTTTACTTGATCACTTCCTAAAAATGTCACCTTAAAATTAAGCCTAATTAAATATAATGAATAGATATCAATTTTTAATCACAGTGCAAAATTCATTTCCCAAATTCGGTCACTATTAGTTATCTGGAATGCCAAGTACCGAACTATATGTAAATTGTATGAGTATATCTTCAGATGTTACCCAAGAGCATGGCTTTCCATTTGGAAAAACTGACTTATTATACACAAACATTCTGTAAAGGCATTGCCTCTGAAAGTCACCAATCTGAAATGTTAAACCTGTCGCTCTCTGTCTGCGGATGCTGTCAGACCTGTTGAGTATTTGGAGCATCTGCTATATTTTTCCCTTATAAACATAAATCTCATTTCCTAGTATGCTACTGCAATCATTATTTCCGAGAGAAACTGTCTACATCCCCTACCTGTTGGCAGCTGCCAGTCATGCACTCATTCCTCTTCTAGTTCTCTCAGTTCTTTCACCATCCACAGCAGAACTGCCTTGATGGGAGGTTTGCGGTTGCAATTAGGATATTTTTGGGGGGTGGGGTAGGTAAGAGAAGGAGGGAATGGACGCTCACCCATTGATAACTCTAATCTACTCCCTGTTCCAGCTCTACCTCCACTTCTGTTGTTTCACCCACTGTCCTTGCAGCACATTAGGACATACAGGCGAGGTGGTTAGGGAGTGACTTCATCCTCTACTTTGGACAGAATAAAGCAGAGTTCACTAACACTGTATTTTACCTTGTCTCTCCTTCTGGGCTTGTACGCTTTCCAGACAATTACAGGATGTGCACCTGAAAATTCCATTTCTGCTCCTCCACAACGACACAAGAATTAGGTGCCAAGTTTAGGCCATTTGTGCCCTCGCACACTGCTCCCCCATTCGATAAGATCATGGACGATCTAATTAAATCTTCAACTCCACTTTTCAATCTGCTCCCCCCATAGTGCCTGACTCCCCTGGTGTACAAAAACCTGTCTGACAACCTTGTATATATGTTCAATGGCATGGCCTCCACTGCTCACTGGAGAAGAGAATTCCACAGGTTATGACTACCTTTAGAAAGAGAGGAAAAACAATCTCCTTATCTCAATCCTGAATGAGAGACGGCTGATTTTTAAGCTATGCCCATTGGTTCTAGACTCCCTCAGGTGGGGAAAACAGTGTGTACCCTATCAAGTCCACTCAAGATCTCAAATGTTGCTACTCTTCTAAAACTCCACAAGGTAAAGGCAATAAAAGCACTTGAGACTCGTTTTGACTGTTATCACACAAGATAGGTGACAGTTAATCAATATTTGGATTTACATCTCCATTTGTAGTTAATGGAGCCTGAGATACATCAAAGGGGCTGTTGATCACAATTGTATGTTTTACACAAGATCGGGTTGATTTATTCCTTCGCCTTAAATCAGTGACCCTGATCACAAATTGTAAGTTTCTTAGCATAATCACTAAATTCAGTAAGGCAGCTGCAGATCTATGAGCATATCTTAGGTGCACAGCATTCCATTGTGCACAAAAGTTTTTAATACAGGAATGTTATTACACAGATTAAGCTGTAGAATGTGCATTATCATCCCTTGTTACACACCCGATGCCCAAACCTTTTACAAGTAGCTGGAGACTTAAAGGAAGAATGCAACCAGGAATAATTGCTCATAAATAGAATGTCATTTTTCCCTCAGCTTTCAGCTTACTCGCTTTTAAAAAAGGCTCAGATTTTAGCTTAGCTGCATCAGGGAACTAATTAACTGGGAGGAGTATCTTGGTCAGCAGCTGTAACGTCCATACAGAATAATAAATCTGCTGATTAGAATTGCAATGAGCAACTGAGCCTTTCAGTGTTAATCTTGAATACACACTCAGACACACACACAGACACACTCTTTAGCAACCCAACTTCACAATAACAATATTTTATACTTATAGAATTCAGTTGACACAGTGAAATTTCAGTTAGTGCATTGCAAAAGCATTGTATGGCACGGGGCCATAAAAAGAGACACTCCAAGTTAGACGATCAAATATTTGGTGAAAGAGACAGGTTTTAACTAGTGTCTTCAAGGAGAAAAACAAGGGAGAGAGATGGAGGGGTGAAGGAATGGTATTTCAGCTTTGACTTCAGTTTTGGTCCTTGGCAACTGAAGGCATGATTACCAATGGAGAGGGTTATTACAATTGGAATGCACAAGACATAACTGATGTAGTACCTTCTTGTTCTTTTTCTTCTAAAGCTTAAAGCAACAGAAGGTATTTTGGGTCAAATCTAGTGGGTGGTCAGATAAACAGGGTCAACAGACTACAACAGTCACTAAATACGACAATGGAGAAGTGGTGGCATAGTAATGTCATTAGACTTGTAATCAGCGGTCCAGGCTAATGTTCTGGGGATGAGAGTTCAAATCCCATCATGACAGATGGTGACATTTGATTCAGTAATTTTTAACAAACTGAAATTAAAAGCTAGAGTAATGACAACCTTGTAGCCACAGTTGATTGTCATGATAAACCCCATTGGGTTCACCAATATCCTTATCTGGTCTGGCCTACACGTGACTCCAGACCCACAGAAATGTGGTTGACTCTTAAGCACCCACTGAAACGGCACGGTGAGAGACTCAATTCAAAGGCAGTTAGGGATGGGCAACAAATGCTGGCCTACAGGAATAAGAAAGGCTGTTCCAACAAAGCCTTACACAGCATTTTCAACAGGAGGGTATTCCTTTTGCTCTGACAAACCAGAACCTTTGCCATAGAATAATCCCTCCTTTGCGTTCTAACACTCAATTCCTCAGCTAGCAAAGTTCGTCTAATTACTCTTCCCAGGTATTGTACAGACAAGAGGAAGAATGGGCCAGGGAATAAGAAACTTAGGAAATGGCATGTCTCCTTTCGGAATCTCATCACTTCTTTTATCCTTTTTTTACTTCTTTTATTCATTCAGAGGATGAGGGCGTCGCTGACCAGGCAGCATTTATTGCCCATCTCTAGTTACCCTGAAGGTTTCTTTTTTTTTAAAAAAAGAGTCAACCACATTGCTGTGGGTCTGGAGTCACATGTTGGTCAGACCAGGTAAGGATGGCAGTTTCCTTCCCTAAAGGACACTAGTGAACCAGATGGATTTTTCCTGACAATCAACAATGAATTCATGGTCATCATTACATGCTTAATTCCATATATTTTATTCAAATTCCACCATCTGCCATGGCGGGATTCAAACCTGGGTCCCCAGAACGTTACCTGGGTCTCTGGATTAACAGTCCAGCGATAATACCACTAGGCCATCGCCTCCCTCCTGTGTCATGACTTATCTCACGACTATTACATCCTCCTTTGTAACGAACGGGAGCTGCAAATGGTCAGGATGCGATGATACTCACTCGTTGAGTAGTGGAATGGACGTCCTCCTCTTGGTTTTCTGGACCATATTGGCCTGATTCCGCAGCGAAATGCGAATGACCGAGGGCGCGAGCTTGCATGGCTCCCCATCCACCTGCATCGGGATTGACTTGTACGTCGTTAGTATCACTTCACGGCACTGGTTGAGCCGTTCCCCATGTCCACCAACTTGCAGGGCAGCCTTAATTACAACACACAGCGAGAGAAAGTCAAGGCAAGAGGTTAGCATTAATGAGCTGCAAGAATTAAAAAGAAATACCGTCAACATCACTATCCGATATCTGACTTCTCGGATATTTTCCGCTATCGTCTGCCCCCCATTTCTTCAGTGGCCTTGATTCCCACTTCCTGCCTGGATTTCTGAGCGACCTCATTCTCCCTGCGCAGTCAATTCATTTTGAGCGATTTTCTGAAGAAGGGTCCAGGCCCGAAACGTCAGCCTTCCTGCTCCTCCGATGCTGCTTGGCCTGCTGTGTTCATCCAGCTCTACACCTTGTTATCTCTACCGCCAACATCTGGTTACCCATCCTTAAAAGGTGCGCGGGTCACTTTAAGGTCATCTGGTCAAAGTTGCATCCATCGTGAAACATAAAAGGAACTCTGAAACTCAAAATGAATTGACTGCGCAGGGAGAATGAGGTTGCTCGGAAATCCAGGCAGGAAGTGGGAATCAAGGCCACTGAAGAAATGGGGGTGCAGACGATAGCGGAAAACATCCGAGAAGTCAGATATCGGATAGTCAATAACACCTGAAGACAGGAAGCTGTTGTATCCGGCACTAAAGGAAGCAAAGTTGGGAAAAACGGTCTGGAAGTAAACTCGGCCGTGGTGTGGTCGAGTGATGGAGCAGATCCAAGGTCCAACTCAACTTCTGCACACTCAGACTTCCAGGGAGTATCCCAATTGTTCTGGCAGCATCTGTGAAGAAAAAAAATCAGAGTTAACGTTTCAGGTCCAGTGACCCTTCCTCAGAACTGATCGTAGTTGAGAAAATGTCAGTTTATATGCAGAAAATTGGGATGGGGATGGGTAGGGAGTAAACGATAGTATAAAGGATAGAATCCAAAGAGGGAGAAGAGCAGTTGGATAGACATTATTATCAACTCCTTTGTCTGTCCAACTGCTCTTCTCTTTCTTCAGGCTCTATCCTATCATTTACTCCCTACCCCACACCCCTCCCGATTTTCCACATATAAACCAACGTTTTCCCAGCTACCATCACAGCTCTGAGGAAAGGTCACCGAACCCAAAACGTTAACTCTGATTTTTTCCCTTCACAGATGCTGCCAGTCCTGCTGAGCCTTCCCAGAAACTTCCGTTCTTGTTCCTGATTTACAGCATCCGCAGTTCTGTCGGTTTTTATTTAGTATCCCAACTGTGCCATCACTAATGTTACCAGCTGACCAGTCGGCACAAACAAGGAGGGGAAGGCACTCCGCGGGCAACGCAGACCCAAGGATCCGAGGAAACGGAGACATACCAACGATGCCATGGTGAAGCCAATCACCTCGATGCAACCATCATCATGACGCTGCGGCTCAAAATCATGATGCTCGCCTGGATTTCCCCATGGCACTGTACCCGCACAGTACCTGCAAGCACAACAAAGCAAAATAACTCGGTTATGGACTTTGAAGAACAGATTTGAAAAGTAATTCCAACACACGTTGACAGGTCAAAGTTCGGTAGCATCAGAACTAGGTGGAGAGTACCTTGGCTCCCTCCTATTTTAGATGCTGGACTGTTACCATCAAGCCAAAGGCTCATTCTTGGTTCTCAAGTAGAATGCAGTCATTTGCCACTTGGCAGTCAATCTGCAATCTCGTTGAGGGTTCCCTGCTTTCAACAACAGAATCGATTTCTCTTTGCTCCTTCGTCCTCCTGAGCGCAACAACCCAGTCCCCACTCCCCACTCCACTTCCTGGCATTCCTGCACGGCAGTGACGCTCAGACTTTCTAGTTAGGAGATACCTCGGAGCAAACAGGCCCCATGGACCAACTACCAACCTGAACCAACTCACTTTCTCTTGCCACCATTAAAAAAAATTCATCAGACTTAATGGGACAAATGACATTGCTGTTGATGAGACATTAATGAGGTGATGTTTGGTCATAAAGTTACAGTCTCCTGTCAGCGGGCTCCATGGCCAGCCAACTCCTCTCCTTGCCAATCGTACAATTGTTGAAAACCCGATCTCACGGCTCTACGTTGTAAGCAGGAACATAAATGTGGTTGATAAAACGACATTGTGGTTGGACACGGATGACAAGGTGCGACATGCGTGTGGAATCCATCTGGGCGTGTGGCGATACTCGAGCAATAGGGTTCAGGTCACATGTTACCTCAGCCTGGCCATGTGTGGCAGGGACTGGCAGTTTCCAGCCCATTATCATAGACCATGGAGAACCACTGTTATCATTTTGAAATTTAACTTTGTAAGTTAATATTAATGACTCGGGATAACGTCAAAGTGTCATCGAAAGAGCTCAAAATGAATTGCTCGAGTTTCCGATCACTGGAAATGTCAATGTCACACAACTAGAGATCAAAATCAGCATTTATTTCAGGAGAGAAGAAATACACATTTAAAGTTCAATTGATTCTGTCACTATTACTTCCACCTGTGATGGACAGGATAGTGAGGTGATGATTTTTTTTTAAGTGCTGCTGACAAACTAGTTGCTCAGGAGTGCCCATGAGGTGCCCAGGGTGCCAGTTTCCCATGGTCTTACAGGTTTAACAGTGCTCAGTGTCCGAGTCAGTGCTGAGACTTGGAGCAGAAACACAGTTATCAAACACTCTGCATCCAAGGTGGATTTAACGTTGTCTGCTACTTTACTGTTCACACCATGCAGGAAATGCTTCCCAGCTTTAATGTGCAAAACCTACTGTATAAGAACCCCCTCTTCCTGCACAAGGATATCCTCTTTTACTAACCCTTTACGGACCTATCAAACTCGTATTGCCCATTTACTAGGAGGTTTTTATGCATCCCAATTGTTATGCGGTCAGACCTATATAACTTGAGGTTTTCCTTTGTCCAATTCGGGAATTCCGCAGATCTTTCCAATCAGGCTTCTGCCTTGTCCCTCTGCCAAATTGGCTCTTTTTGCAGTCACAAGTTGCATCGTGCGTGACTGGGGTAAAAGGTAAAGTTTCTCCCATTACCCTTCTTGCCCTGCAGCCTTTTTATGCATTTGATCATATCCCTCCCGGCTGGGAGGGTCTGCTCTCACCCAATTCCAGTCTAATCTTATCACAACCAAAGAATCACTTGCAAAGACTTCTCTTCCTGCCCCTATGCTGTTGTCTCTAGCATCCCTCAAAGATCTATCTTTTATCCCCTCCTATTTCTCATCGACACACAGCCCCTTGATGACATTAGGCAGGAAACCACGAGTTTTCACATGTACATTGCTGAGACCCAGCTCTACTGGTTAGTAGAGATAACAAGGTATAGAGCTGGATGAACCCAGCAGGCCAAGCAGCATCAGAGGAGCAGGAAAGCTGACGTTTCGGGTCTAGACCCTTCTTCAGA